GTCCAAGGTCAAGGGTTTAGCTCACCTAAGCTTCCTCAGAAATTATTTCTCAACGTGGATGTCGATTGCTACCTCGGCTTTGAAGGCAATGTGTATTCTCTCATTCCCTCTGACACGCTTTTTCTTCAAAGGGATGCCTCCTTATCCACCCTGGGTCTGTTTGTGCTGTGGCTATACGCCTTCCCTTTGATTTCTTTACGGCGAATGCTGTACATGCTTGTGGTCTGAGAAATGGACATCAGAAGAAAAAGGGCTTGTACAGGTTGTATACAAGGCTGACCCAATAAAATCCCAGTCACGGACCCTCAGCAGCAGGGCTGAAGGTTGGGTCTCAGGCAGGCCGCCTACCGGGCTCCGGCGTTTTGGATTGGACTTTCCACGTCAAGTGGACTGTGGCTGGTGCAGACTTAAGCTCCTGGTGCAAACGCACGTACTCAAAGCTGACGTCCTTCCCTCTGCCAGCCGGGATGAGGCCTGGCATGACGGACAGAAGCCGAGGGAAGCCCTCTAAGTCCCTGTGTGTGTGTGACATTGCAGTCTCCTCCCGCCATTCGTGTCATTGGCTCAGAACAGAGGCACACATCACTCAAACAACAGATAGCAAAAGTAACCTGTAGCTTTCTTTACCACTCCTTTTGTTTTGTTTTGCCTTTGGAGTTTATTATGTCATTTTTTTTTTGGCAGAAGATGTGCCTTCCCAGTAACTGGAAGTTTTGTTTTGAAGTTTGCATTTCCTAAGCACAAATCAGTGAATAAGGAAGGCACAGGGAGGAGGCAGGATCTGTGAGGAGGGCTGGGGGTGAGAGAGAAGCCTGTGATCCAGGGTGCACCTCAAGGTGGACTACCTCCCCCCACCCCCGCTCCCCCACTGCTCCCCAATGCTGACATTAGAGTAGATGCATTAGAGGCACCTGGAGGCAGAGAAGAGAAAGTATCGGAGAGGGGGAGAAAGAGAGGGAGTAGGGAGAGGAGGAGTGCTATAGAAGGAAGTGGAAGTGAGGCAGAGGGTCCAAGATGGACAGAGGTAGGGGGAAAGGGAACCAATGTGTCCCAGTTGGCCAGGGATTGCCCCAGGTTTTAAATAGAAAGTCCAGCAACCCAGGAAACCCTTCGGTCCCAGGCACACACAGGACAATGAGTCACCCGTGGTCACAGAGGTGAAGGGCAGAGAAAGGGTGGGAAAATGAAAGCAGGTCGGGCCATCCCAAGTATGTTGCTGGATGGAGAGTGTCAGTCATAAAAGAAACAGGCTTCTGTCATCCGTACCCCAACACAACAGGGCTCCTTTGGCGGGGTGGCATCTCACTCGCCCGCCCCTCCTGGGGAAGTCGGGCACTCCTGGAGGAGGTGCTCAGACCCAGCGTTTGAGAGCCGGAGGACCCACCTGTAGGGCTCGGGCCTAACCTCGTGCATTCTGGCCTGAAAGGCCTGCTCCCTCACCCAGCTGCGATGGGTCATGATTTCTGAACCTGCTGTCAAAACCTGGTTTCTAATTCCAGTTCTGCTGTCGGGTCTTGGGTGAATCCCTTGCTGTTTGGAGCTTAGATTTCTCAAATGGACTTAGCCACTATGGATTTTGTCCAGGATATTCTGTCATCCCCCTTTTTCTGTTTCCTTTAAGGAACTTCTCTCCTATACTATGCAGTCTTGGTGGGGCTGTCCTTCACAATGCCCCTTTCTTCCAGCTCCTCAGGGCTGGATGTGTGCCCAAGACTGCTCCACTGATAGTACCATAATCTCCAGGCGCTGACTGGTTCAGGGGTGGGCGGGAACCAAAACCCAGGACTTCTCTGCTGGATTCAGGAGGGAAGGCTGTCTTCTCCTTAGAATCTATAGAGTATAAGCGTGGGCCAGCTACATCTTTCTAGTAGACAGAGAAATCCTGTGTGCTCTAGGAAAGGACAGCAGAGTGAAGTAAAACTAAGAGAAGGAAAAAAAAAAAAAAAAAGGCAATAATCTCCTTTGAGACTCTTGAGCCAGCCATGCCTGCAGTAAATCACCATTGCACTCCCTAGTCACATGAGCTTGTACATTTTCTTTTCTCATTGAGTCACTTTGTATCACTTAAAACGCAAAGAATCCTCACCCATGCAATCTCTTTATCTATAAAAATGAACATAACTTCTTGCAGGTGCAGGGGAATTCACTTAGAGATGTTTATAGAGTCTTGTCCTTAATGACCCCAAAGTGGAAACAGCCCAATAGTCATCACCTAAAGATAAACAAAATGTGGTCAATCGGTACAATGGAATTTTATTTGGCAATAAAAATGAATGAAATAGTGATACATGCTCTATTAAGATGAAGCTTGAAAACAATGTTCTAAGTGATAGAAACCAGACACAAAAGGCCACATACTCTATGATTTCACTTACATGAAATGTCCAGAATAGGCAAATCCACAGAGACTGAAAATAGATTAGTGGTTGCTAGGGGTTGGGATGAGGGAACGGGTAGTGGCTGCTAATGGTTACAGAGCTTCTTTGGGGAATAATAAAAATGTTCTGGAATTAGTAGTAATAGTTGCACAACCTTGTGAATATACTAAAAATTGCTGGATTGCTTGGTGAGCATTATTATATGTGAATTACACCTCAATAAAAATAAGTAAATGCATATGCTCTGTACATGTAAGGGATTATTATTATTACTACTACTACTGTTCAACTAAAATCTCAGCTCCCATAAAGCCCTGCTCTGAGCTTCTCCAGACTCAATGTGGATTGTGCATTTGTCACCCCTATGCTGCTGCGTTGTATGATATAGAGTGTTTAAAAGTCATTAAATAATAAATGATTTAAATGAATGTTTAATTAATAATGACTGCCAATGCATATGAGGTTATGTCTCATCTTTTCAGCTCCATCACTAGCTCCTCGAGCGCAGGCTTCTCGTATGTGACGTTCAGAGCGTTGGGGGCACAGGAGGCACTCACATATTTGTTGAAAGAATAAGTGAGGGCACACCTCCCCTCTCCACCTTCCACGGTTACAAAGGCAGGCACGCTGGATGGGACCCCGGTGCCCGGATGAGGACCATGTGAGTTAAGGAGTGGCAGGGCTGTTCCTCCGGGATCAGCAGCTGCACACCCGCCTCAGAGAGCCTCTGCAGCAAGCAGCGGGCGGTCTCAGAGCGCGATCTCCAGGCCACCGCACAGCAGCATGCCAATAGGGGCGCCCTGGCCTGGGGGGCTTGTGCGTTCCTCATAAGTGCCCCAGGCAGCCCCCGTGCAACTGCAGGGCGGGAGCCACTAGGGAGGGCATCCATGGGTGCCAGGCAGGGAAGTGGTGTGCAGCCCGTTGGAGAGCTGTTATCAGGATGCTCTAGGTTCACAGTATCCCAACTCAAACCCTCTTAAACAATGAAGGAGGCATTGGTCGCATTATTGGGAAGTCCTGAGGGGAGCAGGCTGAGGGGGTGGCTTGATTCAGTGGCTCAACAACCTGGTTCCTCCATTCTGTCATCCCATGTCTGCCTCATCCCAATGCCAGATCTCCCCCTTCCCCAGCCAGACCCCTCCTATCCATGCCAAGGCCTATGTGATTCTCTGCCCCAGCCTGGGAGGGGATTGAGAGTAAGAGAGAAGGGGAGAGGAGAGGAGAGAAAAAGTTGATGAGTTGGTTAATCTAGGAGCTCTTTTAAAAGAGCAAGAAAGCTTGTTTCTCAGAAAACCCTTTTCATGTGTCCTGTTGCCTTTTTTTAAACTAAATCACATATCCCCTCTCCCCACCCCACCCCCACACACCCCAGGGACGGAATCAGCTTCCCCCTAGTCAGTAGCTGAGGAGAGGTGAGGATACCAAAACACAAAGCAGGGTAGTTACCAAGAAAAGAGCACAATGCCCACAATACTTACTTGAACCTGGGCTTTTTCAAAACCCACCTCATCCTCCAGGACTCAGCCTGCATGTCATGTCCTCCGGGAGGTCCTTCCAATTCCCCCCTGTGTCTGTCTCTTCAATCCACCCACCCACCACCTAGTAAATTCCTGGTTCATGGAGAGGAGGGGGGGGGGGGAAGAGAGGAGTATGTGTTCCTTTATGAACCAAATAGATGCTTCTACCCTTAAGGGTGTTTTCAGCCTGGACAAGGGGAGAAAAGTTAAACAATTACACCTACTGATGTGTAGTTCCTCTCCTAAGTACAATGAAGAGAGACAGACAGAGAGAGAGAATGCCCTGTCTAGGCTGAGACCTGGCAGGATAGGGGAGGGGGGAAGGGAGGCCCCCCGCAGAGGGTGGTGGTGTGGTCTCTGCTGCAGCTTTCACACACTTGCCGCCTCCCCTGGCTCTCCACGCGGGAAGGACCAGCCTCCACACCCATGGCTTGAGGTCCAGCGCCCGATTTAAAGCTCGTGCAACAACTGTGCATGGAGTTCAATTGTCAGTGGTCAGAAGGGCTGGGAAGGAACGTGGCTGGGTGCCAAAGAGCTCCGCTGTTGTGGTCCAAGTAGGCACAGTCCTCCGGAGGCTTCGGGAGGCCTCAGGTGTGTGGGCTGGGGGAGAGCAGGTGGAGGGGCCTGGTCTGTCTTTATTCCAGGCTCAGAAGAATCAAGGTGCCTTGACACTTATTCCATGCCCCAGGGTGCAGGGAGGCAGGGGGCGCCTCAGAACAGACTTTGGAGGGACATGTACTCCCGGTGGCTAAGGGAGACCTGTGTCACCGTCCGCCGGAGTTCCGGGGTCATCTTAGGGACCCTCCTCCGCTTTGGAAGCTCTTTCCTCAGACCCCATTCTTCCCGGACAGCCTCTGACCTGGGTGACGGTGGCGCAAGGAATATGCTGCACAGGCGAGGTGGTGCCCAGGAGAGGGGTTCCCAGGTGGTTCTCCCCTAAGGCAGAGGTCTGGGGTGCGGGCATCCAGGCGGCAGAGGGGCCCGGCCTGGACGGGAGCCCAGTGGAGAGAGAATGCCCTGTGTCTGGGCTGAGACCTGGCAGGATAAGGGGTGTCCCGCGCCCCTCCCCGCCCCGCGCCGGCCCTCCCACTTCCTCTGGCCGCCGCTGTCAGGGCGCCGCGCGGCGGGCGCAGTGCAGGCTCCGGCTCCGCGCCCAGGAGGCTGCCGCTCTGGCTCGCCGCCCCCGCCGCTCCGCACCGGCCCCCGCCGCCGCGCCGCGCCATGGACCTGCCCCGGGGCCTCCTGGTGGCCTGGGCGCTCAGCCTGTGGCCAGGTACGTGCGCTCTCGCCTCCCCTCCCTTCCCCTCCCGGAGCCGCTCCGGGCGCGCCGGGGCCTCGGGTCTGGCCGCCCGGGAGCGGGACGCGGTGCGCCTCCGGGGTCCGGCCGCGGCTCCTCTCGGGGACGCGGGGCTCCGGAGCGGGCTGCAGCCTAGCGGGCCGGCCAAGTTCCGCACAAGAGGGGGGCCCGCGGGAGCGACTCGGAGCGGTTGTTTGGTGTGTTTGGGAAGAGTGGAAGAGGCTCGAGTGGAAAAGGGCTGCGGGCTGGTGGCCCCGCTGGACGCCCTGGACACCTCCCGGGGCCACGCCGGGTCCCCGCGCCGCCGCCGGGGCGCTGGGCTGTCCCGGGAGCACCAGGGCGCCCGGCCCGGCTGGGAAGGGGCTGGGCGCGCAGAGCGAGCGCTGCCCCGGTGCCCTCCTGCCCGGAGCGGAGGGCGCGCTCTGCAGGGCGGAGACCCGGGCGCGGCGGACTGGACCCGGAGGGCTGGGGGGACCCGGAGCCCGGGGGGACCCGGAGCCCAGAGCCTCCCGGAGCTCCTCTGGCGGGGGATGGAGCGATTCCCAGCGCTGCCGGCCCCGAGGCAGTGACGAGCCGTCGGAAACATTCTCCGCCACTCGGGGTAGGGACAGGGCATCGCCGCCACCGCCACCACCACCACCCCCACAGACCCCGTGTTCGGAGTTATGCGCAATTATTCGTAGCCCGGGGAAGTCGCGGACACGGAGGAACATGCCATTTCTCATGCGCTCTAGGTGTCCTAGGTGTCCCAGGTGTCGAGAGGCTAGTCCTGGGATCTTCTCACTGGGGCCCCCGTCCTGGACTCCCCCCTCAGCCCCGCCCCACACCCCTGCAGGACCCGCACCACGGAAGCCTTCCTGGCCTCTCCGCTGCGCGAGGACCTGCGCCCGCCTCAGGGTCCCGGGCCCGCCCCGGCCTCCCGGGCTGTGTGCGCTCCCGGCTGGGGCTGCAGCCTGCGGTAATGGGGGGTCAGGGGCAGAGGCATACGGAGAAGCGCCCTCAGGGGACATCGGTGGAGCTGGCGCCACCACCCATGCTGGTTCACCCCGGTTCCGAGGTTCCACAGGAACAAGTGCACCCTCCTACCCGGCTGTCTACAGCGGCGCTTCTGGCAGCGCCTCTGGTTGGCGGGGTCCAATTCAGACCCCAGGCACAGCTGGAAACAAACGTTGGTACCTGCTGTTTGGTAGTGGGGGGTGGGGCGGAAGGCTAGGGAAGAGCTGTGAGCAGGCCAGCATGCGTCTAGATATTTCTTTTAGGAAGCGGTAAGGCGCGCTCTGGATCTTTTAGACGGGAGGGGAGGCCACTCCAGCACTGTCTGCAGCTCACTGGAGATCCTGCCCCAGGAAAAGAGAGGGCACTCCTGTTCTGGAGGGTGACTCCAGACAGGGGGAACCACACACCAGACCCTGGGTTGGAGGGGGTGCCTTAGGGGCCAAAGACAGTTTGCACCTCAGTAAGCTAAGAGCAAAGTCTTTGAAATCAGACCTGGCCCCAGTCCCAGCTCTGCCACCCACTAGCTGTGCGACCCTGAGCAGCGGTGGCACGTTCCCCAACAGGTCTCCTCCTCCTTGGATTGGAGGGTGAGATTCCGAGTTTATCACTCTGTCAGGAGGAATAAGAGAGGCGCTGTACGAAGAGCCCCTAATACGGGGCTTGGTGCACAGTAGGACTAAAGCAGTGGTTGTTAGTGTTACTCACTCGGAGCTGGGGAAATGGGGTGAAGGATGGGGACAGGATTTGTGACTCAGAGCTCCCTTTCTATGGAGAAAACCACCCCTGAGTTATGTTTGGTCAGTTTGGGTTCTTGAAATGTGGGATTCATTAAACATATCCATCAACGTTGGAACGACATCTGTTTGCAAGGAGCTGGGGCTGCGGCCCAAGCGTGTACGCAATCTGGGCTCCGCTCGGAGCTGAGAACAAGGCTAAGTAAATAGAGGCGCTGGGGAGTGGATGACACGGAGAAGGCGAGGGCTGCGGCTCAGAGGAGAAGCTCAGTTCCACCTGGAGAAGCCAGGGAGGCTTCCTGGCAGAGGAGACGTTTGCATTGGGCTCTGAAGGAGTGTGGAGAGTGTTGACAAGCTAGAAACGGGGACTACACGTATCCGTTTACCAGAGTTAGTTCCTGGGAATACTTAAAGAATGAAAAGGTGAATGTTTTAAAACCACACACATGACTCTGGTCAGTGTGGACTCTGAAGAGTGAAAGTAGGGCAGGGGTCACTGGGGACGTGTCCCTAGCTCCAGGCAGGATTGGTCTGTCCCCTGTGCATCACAGGGAGTCTGTGAGAGGCTTACCAGGAAGCTTGCCTACTGGTGACAGCACAGTTTGACTGGTAGGGGACCTGTTAGAGGCCGAGTTGGAATTGAGGCCATTGTGAATTCAGAGCCTCTGTCTTTCTGGAGCCCTGCTGCAGTCTGGGTAGGGTGACTGGGTGGGCAAAACTATCAAGAAAGCCAGGTGCTGAAGCCGGTTTGGCTCAGTGGATGGAGCGTCAGTCTGCGACTGAGGGGTCCCAGGTTCGATTCCGGTCAAAGACATATACATTGGTTGCGGGCACATCCCTGGTGGGCGGTGTGCAGAAGGCGGCTGGTCGATGCTTCTCTCTCATCGATGTTTCTAGCTCTCTATCCTTCTCCCCTCCTCTCTGTAAAAAAATCAATAAAATATATTTTTTAAAAAGAAAGCCAGAAAAAAAAAAAGTAGACAAGTCCAAAGACTTTTCCGGTTGACATTCAGAGAAAGCAGATCCACTGGCCCAAACTTTACTAGCATAGCACATCTGTAATAAGGGTGGATGAGGTAATGATTCTTTAAAACCCAGTCTTTACTGAGCACCTGTTATCTGCTAGGCTAGGGTGTCGAACTCAATCAGAGAAGGGGCCAAAATCTAAAATCCAGCCTAAATCGCGGGCCGAATGGTTTATTGAACAGTCATAAACTGTCATTGTGATGGAAACGCAGCGGAGTGCAGTGATGACAGCGCGGTGTGGGCCGCATTGCAAGGCCTGGCGGGACGGATTTGGCCCGCGGGCCTTGTGTTTGACACATGTGTGCTAGGCCCATAAAGACACACAGGGAGTTCAGACACAGCGTGAGAGTGAAGGCTCAGGTCCCACTGCCTGGGATGTGTTCGGGCTCCACCAGTTCTCTGTGCCCTTGGCAAGTCACTAAGTGTCTCCGTGCTTCAGTTTTCTCACCTGCAAAATGGAGGAGGGGTGGTATTAATAGAACTTACAGATTTATCTGGAGTTAAATGATCAAATGTTTATAAAACTTTTGGAAAGTTCCAGGTGCATATTAGGCACCCGAGGAGGTTGTTTCTCCTCCACCGTCAGCAGCAGCAGTGCTCATGATACTGACCATTGAGGAAGGAATCTGAGGCCGCAGAGATGTAACTTCAAGCCCAAGTCCATGAGAGAAGGGTAGAGGGAGTGCCGGGCTCCTGGGGCCCAGGGGAGGCCTGCATGCCAGGCTCTAAGTAAACCTAAGCGTCCCTAGCTCTTGCATCCAAAGACTGGCCCACAGTCCTGATCATAATGGGAACTCAGGTATTTTGTTTTTACCATTGAGGCTGCCAAAATCAGTAGGATTTCAGTGTGAGTGTTTCATGGTGTTGAAGAGAAGAACCATACCACTCAGCATAGCCCTTGTGTGAACTTGCATATAGGGATCTTATTTAGGAAAAAAAAAACACACACACAACTTGTATGGGAAAAGCACAGTATAAGCATATGGGTGTGCAAAGATCCAAGCCCTGCTCTCTAGCTCTGGAAGAGCATGGAAGGGGACAAAGTCACTTTGCCTACTCCACTGCCCACCCTGCTGGGATCTTGTCAGCCAAGCCTCTCAGCTTTCATCAGCCAAGGGGCTTCTGGACCCTTCCACATCAGGCACGGGGGGCCCTAAGGGATGGCTGTGGAGTGTCACCCTCTTTCTGCTTACTCGCCACACCATACCAACCCCACAGTGGAGCCCAGACATGGAATATCTCTCTCCTTGCCAGTCGCCTTGTCCCAAGAAGCCCACCTCCACAGGGCTGTGGGCCCTGAGGACACATCTTAATTTTGCCTTCTCGGAACCTCCTTCTCTCCCCTCCTGTAGTGGAAGCTTCTTCCAGCAGCTGGGAACTTTCCTTCTATTCTCACCCCACCTCACTTAGGCCAAAACTGCATCCTGAGTTGGCCTGGCACGGCTCTTGCTGTATAGAGGCAGCTTGGAGAATTTTAAAAGCCTTCTTTTCTCTCCAGGATACCTGGCTTTGGAGATGATTGTCTCACTATAGGCTTCAAATCTTACTTTGGGAGTCAGAGTTGAGCCAGACTTTGTTGAGAATACGAAAAGAACGAATCCATCATAATCCTCCCCAGGCAGGAACAGCCTCTGGCTGACTCGGAGGATCAGCTACAAAACAAGCCTCGAACATGCACTAAGATTTGACAAATGGCGTCTCTGCTGATTCTCACCACTTAACGCCCCATCCCACCAGCATCAAACTCTGGGCTACCATCAGGGATTCAGAGCCAATTTGAAACTATTTCCTCCAAACAATTGAGAGCTCCAAAGACACACACACACACACACACACACACAGGCCCTCAATATGGGGTGCTTGCTACAGGGAGCTGTGGTCCAGGTGGGGACTGTCCCTCAGCTCCCATGATGTAAAGCCTAACTGTATGAACGCTTTGTAAGGAGAGAAGGGGAAGGGAGAGACCGGAAGTGGTCATCTTGTAAACCAAAAGTAAAGAAGCTGCCAAAATACTCCCTGAAGGGTTTTCACACTGTGTACTTAGGACCTGAGTCACAAGATGAATAAAATCCCACCTGGAGGGAAAGGCAGTGTGGTCCCACCCCTACCTGCCTCTGTCTCTCATTCCCCCTTCACCCACACGTTTACTGTGCAACAATAATCAGTTTGCCTGGCCTGGGAGCCCAACTGCCTGGATTCAAACCCTTTCCATTTGGGTGA